GGTTAGATGCAGCGACAGCTGCCATAGCCGTAGTTAGTAGTGAGTGTGTGTGTGTGCTCGAGTGTTAGAGTGATGCGTGTGGGATATCGAGGGTGATCCCGTGTATGTGAACAGTGAGATGTTTGGGCGCTGAAGTCGCCATAGCTAATTGAGAGTGAACTCGTATCTGAAAGCCATATCTCCAAGTTTTTGAGTGGCCGCATGTCGCCAGTATGCTGCGTTGCTGTTTACATGCATGAAAAGTGTGTTTGAGAACTAGTCTGATTGCACTATTTGTTCTTTGTTTTTTTTTTTCTCTACTTTTTTAAAAGGGCGTTGGCATTGAGATATGGTCGTCGAACTGACCGGCTGAGCTCAGGTCTGTATTTCAACAGTTCAGTTTAGGGGTGTACCAACTGAACTACGGCAGTTGTTTCCTGTATGGTACCTCCCGGAAAGTTCCACTTCGGCCCTGAGGGGTACCAAAGAAAATGGGACACAGTAAAAAAGAAGGAGAAAAACAAAAAGGGACAGGGTACGGGGGCCGTACTGCGGTAGCGCTTGAATCCTTTTGAAGCGAAAAGAACTTAGAAAAAGTGTGGGAAGGAATGTGGGCCGTGTGATTGGAGCTTGGAAGGATTTGGTATCAGCTCTTGCTTCTGGGTCCCCTACCGAAGGCGCCGAAGGCATCATGAATGAACACGTGGGACAAGGGGATGTGAAGAAGGGGGAGGGGGGGAGGGAGAAGGGGACAGGCTTGCGCAGGATGTCCTTTTTTCTGTTTGTTTTTCGAAGGGTGTCTTTGTGAATGACGCAGTGGTGGTGTGGCATGCCAAAGCTTCGTTATTGAGGCAGGGTTGCACTCCTATGGGGATCATACGTTCGATGGAAACCCCACTCCTTCCAGCCTGTGCATGGCCTTCGTTGGTACTGAGGTTGGGTTTATGTATAGGGCACTCAGGAGGTGCAAGCAGGTTCGGAAGCAGAGGGCCTTAGACGAAAAGCGAGATGCTGAGCAAAGAATGTACCGGACTTTGTTGCACTGTGGGAGGATGGGGCTCTGTGGGACGATGGGACTCTGTGGGCTTGGGGATGATGGGACTGTGTGGGATGATGGGACTGTGTTGGACTTCACGGGACTCTGTGGGATGATGAGACTCAGTGGGACTCTGTAGGATGATGCGAGGGGGGTCAACAAATTATGTCGTGAGAGGACTGGGACGAAAAATTTGCATCCAGTCAACTAGATTGGCACATGCACCCAATAAAAATGTTTCTGTTATCACTCGGTCCCCCGCTTGGCATCCTAGATAAGGTTTTCGTTACCATCTCTTCCCGCCCCACACCCCACAAACCTTCCTCCAAGAGAAGTGGAGGAAAAAAAAGGCACATTCTATGACCCTACTCGATCCACGATGCACGACATCTCTGAGACAATGCCATTCATACATAATAACTCAAGAAGACAAGGATTTAGATCAGCAGAGAAGAAGACAGAAGAAGAAGAAGACGAAGGAGAAGAAAAAGAATAAGAGGAAGAAGATTGGCAGATTTGAATATTTACCTAGAAGAAGAGGAAGAAGGGCAGAGGGAGAAGAATAAGAAAACAAGATCGACAGGTTTGAAAACTTTGAATATTTATCTTCATGTACAATGAAGATCGAAAAGGAGAAGCAGCAGCAGCAGCAGCAGCAGCAGCAGCAGCAGAAGAAGAAGAAGATTGAGCCGATTTAAGAGGTGACCGATTTTAATATTATCTATTGAGCAGGTGACCAATTTGAATATATATATGTATTTCTAAAAATAGAATGAAGAAGAAGAAAAGACAAGACCGAACCAAAGAAGAAGAAGAAGAAGAAAAAAAGATTGAACGAATGTCATCTCCCCCCTCCTCCCGCCATAGTCATTGCCTCCTTCTCAAATGACAATTAAATACAACAATCAATGAGGGAGAATCAATGTCCCAATGATCCCCTTTTGCTGCCGGCTTTCAAAGAGCTCTCCTACAGCCCTCTGTCTCTCTCTCCCCTCTCCTTGTGGTTGCACAACTCGCTATGGCACGTCATCGGTGCTTAGCGCGGATGTTGAAGCGACAACGCACTGCTACCATGCCTCTCCCATCTCCCACTGCCATAGCGACACTCCTGCAGGAAGTCCTTGTCTAACTGTTACCAAGCCAGTGCAGACCTTTCGTGATGTAATGCCGATGTAATTTCAACCAAGGAAGCGGATATGGCGATCCACCATAGCCAAAGGCAAGTCTCTCCTGTCGGTTCCCCCTCCTCCTCCCTCCTCCTCTACGTCTTTTACCGACCTCCAGAGCCTAAGCTGAGGTCCTTCTAGCGCTACCTCCATAGTCTAGGCCCGCTCTCTCCTCCTCCTAGTTACTGCTCATCCTCCATAGCCAAGGACGTCTTCTCCCTCACCCTCAGCTCCTTCCTCGAACCAGTGCTCTGCCGCACTCTGCCTCAGGGCAGAGCAGCAGCAGGACGGCCGGGTGAATGCCCGGACTGCTCATTGCAGGGCCTCCAGACCGCACTACCCTGGTACTCCTTTCCAGTGCCTTGGGCCTACACGAATGTTGCTGCCCACCTTTCTCGGCCTTTTGACTAAGATCAAGTGTAGTATTTATTCTTTTCAGACAAAAACAAAACAAAACAAAACAAAACAAAACAAAACAAGACAAAACAAAACAAAACAAAACAAAACAAATGTTCCTGCCCTTTGGTGGGAGCATTATTGCCACCAGTTCACACAAACCTTTTTTTTCTTTTTTTCCAAGAAAAACACGACCCCGAAAATAGCTTGAGATGCTGATAGAAGCAGGCAAGAGCGCGCAGTGGTCCCCATCTTGAGTTCGTCAATTTGAGAACGCGACTGACCAACGACCTCAACGTCTTAGGTTCTTGTTGTTTTAGGATCCATTGAATCTGAGGATGTTCAATTCCAATCCGGTTGGTTGGTTCGGCCAGCATTCGCGTGTGGC